TTTCTTGATCAACGGGTGAGATCGCAATCTAAAAATAACCTAAAAAACCATATAGGAAATAGTAATAAGATCAAATAGCCAATTTTTCAATCATTTTATCAATAAAATAGAGAGGGAAATGGTCATTCTTTGTTACTGCATTTAACTTACGATAGTCGATGCGCTGGCGCCAACCTGTTTGCTTGCAAACAGTCACCAACTCACCTTGTTCGTTCTCCTCAACAGTCACGTCTGCCTTTTTTGCGAGCACTTGTATAGGGCTCACCCATTGGCTATCAAAGATGGGGTATATAATGTCGGTTTCCGAAAGTTCAAGCACCTCATTTTTCACAACTTCGGTCATCATTGTGTTGAGTCGTCGTTGGGCCTATCGAGCAGGCTTTGCATCCTCCTCTAGAATGATTCGATGTATACAAAAGAATGGGCTTATCCCTTTGATGTTGGAAATAGTCTAGCCAATGGCTTCTTTATGATCTTTTAATATTCGGACAAACTTGTCTTCTAGTGTCTCGGATAGTGAGGCTGATACGATGATGGGCAGTGTGTCATTTTCCCCTAGATATATGTATTTCAAGTTTCTCGCCAGCGGTTTGAGTTCTAGCTCGGGTGCCTTCACAAAATATGGAAGCAATTTATGGTCATTTCAGCCATAGACAATAAGAGGTGATCACAACTTTTCGTCGAGATTGGAGAATTGCAGGGTCTGGGTTGTTGTTTATGGTCCTGCAAAAAATACAAAATTGTGATCATAATGCAATTCTAAAGTTTAAATCGCAGATTTCTTACCCTCTGACCCATCACCAGATTTGTATGTTTCCTACATAAAATGATTGGCAACATCAATAGCATAAACCAAATGATGTTCCGTAGGATGTTTCATGGAGTTATAAATATTGAATTGAATTTTCTCACCGTTAAACTCTATGGTTAAAATATCTTGTCTCACATCACTCTTTGTTTGTGCAATGCTCATAAAAGGTCGACCCGACAAAAGAGGGGGAAAGATTAAAGAATTTCTCATCATGCATGTCCAACACATAAAAATCGGCTGGAAATATTAATTCATTAACCCGAACGAAGATATCTTCTAATAACCCCTATGGATATGCGTTAGTCCTATCAGCTAATTGAATTATTATTCCTGTGTCTTTTAACGGCCCCAAAGTATTAATATCGTACATGGTCTTTGGCATAACGTTTATCGCAGTGCTTAAGTCTAGCATGGCCTTTTTCACTTCAGATGTTCCTATCTTACACGGGATAGAAAACATATTTATATCTCTACACTTTGAAGGTATTTTTCTCTGTAGAATTCCTAAAACATCTTCTCCAGCTACGATAAATTCATCTCGTCTCTATCTCCTTTGATTGGTACACAAATTCTTCAAAAATTTGGCATATCGGAGCACTTGTTTGATTGCCTTTAAATGTGGGATATTTACTTCGACTCTTTTAAAAACCTCCATGATTTCTTTTTCTTTCTCTTGTGCCTTTGACTTCTCCAACATGTGAGTAAAATGAGGAATTTCAAATTGTGAAAATCAAATTCTTTTGGTCTTACCTTTTTTTGGTTCCGTCGATGCCTCTTTTTCTATTTCTTTTTCGATCTTTTCTTGATTTTTCTCTTTCGGAATGGTAGGTTATGGATCTTTTGTAATAAGTTTCCGATGCTGCTCTTAGTTTTCTTTTGAAATTGTAGAGTGTGAGACGCCATGTTTTCACTATATCTTCTAATGACATACCTTGATTGGGTAGAGGTAGTTAATAGTGTGAGGTGTGCTCGGAATCATTGCAGTGTAGCCATATGGGGCAATTTGTTTCCGTAGCTGAGGTTAGGATGATCACTCCAACCAGGATTATATGTATTTGAGTATGGATTATAATTTTGACGTGGCACCATGTAACTGATTGCAATAACCTCCATCGGAACTCCTCCAGACTGTAGTGTGGGGCAAGTGTTGGTAGGGTGGTTTGATCTCGAGTAAAGTCCATAAGTGTAAACCTGATGCGTCTTCCCTATCACTAGTTGTCGAACTATGGATGTCAACTCGGTCATCTGTTGTTGAAGAGCTTTTATTCTTTGATTATATGCTTCTTCGACGGCACTGACGAGGGCTGCACTTCGAGTACCAAATTGTTGCGCATTTTCAGCCATCCTTTCAATTAATTCTTGTGCTTTTTGTGAAATTTTATTCACCAGGGCTTCTTCACTCGCTGCATCATTGACGCTCCTATTCATTTGGTTCAATCCTTCGTAGAAATATTGAATAAGGAGCTGCTTAGAAATTTCATGATGTGAACACCTAGTGCACAAGCCATTAAATCTTTCTGAATGCTCGTACAATGATTCTTCAGGGTGCTGTTTGATTTCACAAATTTTCTTCTCAAATTTGCAACACGAAAGGCAGGGAAGTATTTTTCCAAAAATTCTCTTCACCTTGATCCATGTCATGATACTTCCAAAGGGTAGTGAGTACAATCAATTATTCACTTCATCTTTCAACAAAAAAGGAAAAGCTCGCAGCTTCAATTGATCCTAAGTTGCCTTCGGTGGTTTCATACTTGAGCTAATCACGTTGAACTCCAGTAGATGCTTATGTGGCTCCTCACTTGACAATCTGTGAAGTGAAGGTAAAAGATGTATAAGTTCAGATTTTAATTCGAAAGTTACTTCATCATCATCTCGAGAAAAATTAATGCAATGGGGTTGCTGATGTAAATCAGGAGCAGCCCACTCTCTTAGTGTGCGGTTTGCATCGGTCATGTCGAATTCTTCAATTGCTATCGTGCCACTTAGATCAACGCTGGGACGACTCCAATCTGAAGCTGCAGGAGATAATTTTGGTGCGTTAGAAAGATTAGCTTCTGGTCGGATCTGCCTGCACTGTCAGGTTTCTCGCCGTAATCGTTTCACAGTCCTTTCAATCTCAGGATCGAATATCGGCTTGCCTGCGCAAGTAAAGCGGAGCATAAAAAAAAAATAATCTAAAAAATAAATCAAACTAAATAAAAGGGAAAAAAAAATCAGGCACCAATTCCCGGCAACGTCGCCAAAATTTGACAATGTTCGCGATAAAATTTCCTACTTTCTAATCGACAAATCGTAGTATATTAAGTAGGGTCGTCTCCACAGTGATCAATTGATTTATTTCTTTTATTCAATATGATCAAATTAAGAATGGAGAGTTTTCCAATTTTACGTCTAGTCCTAGCTAAAATAAAATCAAAAGCAAAACCAATCAAGAAAATTAAAGAAATCAAGAACTTCAAATAAAAATGCCTAATCCAATGATTGATTTTAGAGGTGAAACTTGAAGTTGATCATCAATCGAATATATTATTCTATTAAATATTTTGATAAACTGGTTATAGAAGCCGACCGCGCCTCACTTCCAATTTTTCCTTACTTAATCGTTAATTAAGATACGACTATTAATTAATTCTCTAATTGAAAAAAGAAATCCAAGGTACGCCCACCAATTTGAGTTTCTAAATCGCATTAAACTCTAAAAAAGCCCAATTATAAATAGCTATTTCTTACACAAGATTATCGCAATCATATCGTAAATTTCTAAAATGGTTCATAAACATTTTATTATCACTAAATCAAATAATCACACAATTACGGATGTAATTATTCAATTAACTATGGATTACAAACTCAACCTAAATATGGGCCATCACATAAGATCAAGAAAATTTGCTACACAGAAATTTTTACGAACACCAAAGAAGTCAATAGAAATTATAAATTAAAGAGTCGATCGCACAAAATCATGAAACTCAAATCGTCAATCGATCGTTATACTAGATAAAAAATTTAGCTCCTTATAAAGAAAAACAAAACAACAAAGAAAAGAAGATAGGAATGCATCTTGGTGAAGTTTTTCTATGTCGGGAGCTTGTCGGTTCGTCGTCTCCTTTAGGAATGCGATGTCGCGGCGCTCTCCTTCAGAAGATGTTCATCAACTTGTGTTCTCCATGTCTGTTTAGGGTTCTCTTTCTGTCTCTTCTTTTTTATTTAGATTTTTTTTATCCCTTCTTGAATCGGTCCGACTCATATTTTTCTTGTTTTACTTTATTGGTAGAGAAAATTGGCTTGGGTGTATTACTTTTTCACTTTTTTTTTTTATGACAACTTTTCCACATGTTTTGGGCCTCCAAGGTATCATGGACTTAATTTGATATGTTATGAGGGTGATTTCGAGATAAATTATGCGATTCAAGTTTTCTCTATTTAGAATGAAATTCCAAACAATCTCAAATGCCCTAGTCATAGGCATGACTAAGGAGCATGTTTTACTCTGGTTTTGTATTTTGTCTTTCCTTTCATGCTCGCTTTTAACATAATATAAACTAACACAAAAATAAGTAGAAATGTATTCAAAACATCAATCTATATATATATATATAAATTTCATGCAAAATATAAGTTATCAAGTTTGACGCAGTTTTAGAAGTATGAAAGATTTGACACAATTTAGTGAAACTATATATGAGTTTTGTGCAATTTTGCCTTTAACTTATACATAAATTACAAATATACCATTAGATATATACATAAAATACAAATGATAGTCGTGTAAGGAATGACCTGATGGTGGTATAGGGGTTGAACTTGTGACCGTAAGATCATTAGTTGTCACACATGATTAGCCCAGACAAAAAAATAAAAAATCAAATAACTGAAAAAAATAAAATACCATAAACATACATAAGAAAATGAAAATAAAAAGGAAAGGATCAAAAAGAGACGACACGCGATGAAGTGTTTCGTGAGCAAGTCAATTGACGCGTTAGTGAGACCGAGCCCAAGCGAAGAAACCTGAAATGACTAAAGTGCCAGCAATCAAATGAGAATCATCGGAATCAATGAAGGGGCGTTTCAGTAAAATCGAGTCTGATATTCCCAACTTTTCAAATATTTATTTATTATTATTTATATATCGGGGCATGGAATGGAATTGAAGAAGGAGAAGGAGAGAGGTAGGCGACAAGACAAACGGCTTTCTTGTAATCCTTACAACTGCCAATCTGCCATTCATTCATTCGCCAGAGCGGCTCCAACACACACCCACCCACCCACCCGCACATTCACATAATTTCTCTTCTTCTCTCTACCATTTCTTCTCATTTCTGCAATTTTTTTGGTTTCTATTTTTTCAATTCTTTCGATAGGGTTTTGGAGTAAAAAGTTGCGAAATTAGGGCAGGGTGTTTGCGGCTCTTGATTTTGCTGTCGTCTTTTGGATGCGGCGCTCCATCTGAGACCTAGTCGCCTGAATTTTCAAAAGTTTCCGGGAGATCTCCGCTTGGGTTTTGATCTGATTTTGGTGGGTTTACATTTCCCGATCTCGAGATTAGGTGATCGATTGAAGCCGGCGAGAGTTGTGCTCGTTATGTGCAGCGTATCGAGATATTGTGAGAAGGTATATGCGATGGCGGAAGGGGGATCTCATTATTGTTCCAAAAAAACTGATGACATATGCGGCGGCGCCTGTGACGAGGTAAATTAGGTTTTTGTGTCGTTTACATATGGACGAATCGAACTTTTTTTTTTTTTTTGCCTTTTCTGATATCTGGCTCAGATTTTATTTTTGATTTCCTGACTGAGATACTGTTTTCATATTCTGTTTCAGATAATTTTATGCTTGTGCTAAATACAAATCAAAATAGTTCAAATTCTGTGGTTTGAGCTCTTGGGAAAAAGTGTTTATTCGTTGAATAAAGAGTCACGAACACATCGCTTCTTTTTGCTTCAATTTTGAAACCACACAATGGATCAAGTCTCAAACCTTGTGGTTTTTTATGAGGAAGAAATCAATGAGACTTTAGATTTTAGATCCTGTAAACTATAGCTGTAACTGTGAGCCCTGATTCAGTTTGTGCCTGTATTTTTACATTTGAGTGCTTGGCTGTACAGAAAGGTTCATATGTTTGGATGAGTGATTCTGTTGCTCAAAGCCTTGAGTTGTTGCCTGTTTTAACGCCATTGAAATAGAGCTGAGTGCTTTTATTTTTATGTCTCTTGTGAGCTATACAATCAATGCGTAATAAGGTTCTGTTCTGTTGAGTTGTGGTGTATCGATCGATATGGGTCGATTGTTCCGGTCAGATTTGTAATCTGTTTTGGTGTTTTTAATCTGCAGGAATCGGGGCGGGCCTTGAGTATGTCAAGATTGAAATGTATTCTGCGGGGACTGGACATTAGAGCTTGCCTCTTTCTGTTCATGTTGATTCCAACGAGTCTTTTTGTTGTATACGTTCACGGCCAAAAGATCACATACTTTTTGCGGCCGCTATGGGAGTCTCCGCCCAAGCCCTTCCACGAAATACCTCATTATTATCACGAGAATGTCTCGATGGAGAATCTGTGCAAGCTCCATGGTTGGGGGATACGTGAATACCCGAGGCGTGTTTTTGATGCAGTGTTGTTCAGCAACGAGGTTGACATTCTTAAGATACGATGGAAAGAGTTGTACCCATATGTCTCGGAGTTTGTCCTTCTTGAGTCAAACTCAACATTTACTGGGCTGGCGAAACCTTTTGTATTTTCAACTGTTCGGGACCAATTCAAGTATCTTGAGCCACGATTGACTTATGGCCAAGTTCCGGGGAGATTTAGGAAGGGAGAGAATCCGTTTGTTGAGGAAGCATATCAGAGGCTTGCACTTGATTATCTACTCAAACAAGCTGGTATTCAGGACGATGATCTTTTATTAATGTCAGATGTTGATGAGATCCCGAGCAGACACACTATCAATCTTTTACGGTGGTGCGATGGCATCCCTCCAATCCTCCACCTCCGTTTGAGAAACTATCTGTATTCTTTTGAGTTTCTTGTCGACAACAACAGCTGGAGGGCTTCTGTTCATGTATATCAAGGTGGAAAGACAAGATACGCCCACTACAGGCAGTCTGATGAAATCTTGGCGGATGCTGGGTGGCACTGTAGCTTTTGCTTCAGACGAATTAGCGAGTTTGTATTCAAAATGAAGGCTTACAGCCACTTTGATCGGGTTAGGTTTTCCCATTTCCTGAATCCGAAAAGGATCCAAAGAGTGATTTGCAGAGGGGCCGACTTGTTTGATATGCTTCCGGAAGAGTACACCTTCAAGGAAATAATTGGAAAAATGGGACCCATTCCACATTCGTATTCGGCTGTCCATCTTCCTGCTTATCTTCTGGAGAAGGCAGAGGATTTTAGATTTCTGTTGCCGGGGAATTGCTTGAGGGAGAGTGGGTGAGGCCTATATAGATATATATATATACATATATATATATCATCTATATATATAGTGTCTGTGATTCGCATGTATAGGTTGAAGCCAGGTTTGGCTCCCGGGAATGGAAAGGATTTCCTTGACGAACGGCGCTGTGATGCTTTTAGAACAGCGTTTGCTTGCTTGCTTGCTGCATGTCCGATGGCGATGGAGATGGCGATGCTAAGTTGAGGTCTTTATTTATTATTATATCTATATATCTATAATCTATGTATCATTCTTTGTGTTCTTTTGGACAAGTTTTAAGAAGAGGAGATTGGAGATGTTGGATTTGTTCTCTACTTAGGTTGGACATGGTAGCGAGTGAGTGAGTTTTGTACATAAGAAACAAACAGCTGGGGTTGTTATTGTTATTAACCTCTCTCTCTCATTTTGTCATATGCTTCTCCTGTTCCTGCTTGTTCTCTCCTCTTTATAAAGCACTTTCTATCTAATTCTAACTATAAGGGTAATCAATCAATGAACCAATCCATCATCGCACATGGCTGCAAGCTGTGTTTATGGATTAAATTTATCTGGGAAGCAGACATCTGGACAGGTGGTTCGTTCCTTAAAAGTCAAATGAAGAATCAGATTCTGTTTGCAGAGAGAAAGAAGGAAGGGTATATTTGTTGTATGAATGAATATCCAAAGATATATATAATTCAGATAGACAGATCATGATCATGATTAGGAAGAAAGAAAGCACAGCAGTAAGCATGGTTTAGTATATAGCATAGTAAGAGAGTGGGCGGGGGAGTATCCTATCCTATCCTATCCTCGTAAAAAATAATGGAATTTTAGTGGAACTGGAACACCACCACCACGCCATCCATGGGTCACGTGCAGGCAGGCATCGATGCTCCTTCACTTTCCTAAAGAAAAAGATGAGATGCAATCCAATCCAATCCTCAATTACACGCGTGGAGTAATTTTTCATGATTCCATCTTCATACCATGTCATGTCTGTCGGAGCTCATACAATAAAAGTATGTTTCGATTCTTAAACCAAGCTAACTGTTATCTATCTATCATTCAATTGCAAGTCGGTTTCCAAATAAAAACATCTCCTTCACGACTTGTATTAATTAATTTTTAACTTATGTAGAATTAGGGCTGGCAATTCCCTATTAAAAATCGTGTTGGGTCGGACCGCCCGATTTTCAATCGGACTTGAAAAGGCCGGCACAGCAAGGCCCAGTTTGCTGGCCTGCTTTTTTTTTTTTTTTAATTATTTTGTTCGTTTTTTAGTTTTGAATTAATTTAGAATTGAATATATTTTAATAATACAATTCCCCGAACCAAATATATACAAGTCAAGACTTGTGTTGTTGGTTCAGCCCGGTTTATTAGCGTAACTAGTCCGAAAATTTTTCGGACCCAATCAAGATTTTTTCGTACTGTGCTCAGACCGGACTTTCGAGCCGTGCTTATTTTTGCCTTCGGACCTATTTTTGGAGGTTCAAGCACAGTTTTTTCATGCCGTGCTTGGACCGGACTTTCGGGCCGTGCCTGACCCGGCATGCTAATGAACCGGGCCTTGCCTGGGCCATAAAGAATGGGCCGTGTCTGGCCTGGCCCGATTTTTTAAAATTAATATTTAATCTATATATATAATAACTAATAAAAAACAACAAAAATGTAGACATAACTTGATGGTAAAGGGTATAAGTTGTTTTTATAAGGTTGTAAGTTCAGTTTTTAATTAGATATATGCTCGGGCCTAGTTGTTCAGGCCCGTTTTAAAATTGGGCCGTGACTGTACGGCCCACTTTAAAATCGGGTCGGGCAGTCCAGAACAAAAACAACCGAACTTGTCCGAATTGCCACCCCTATATGTGAATTCACTACTATGCTGAATTTTTATGTATCGTTTAATCGATATAAATTTTAATAGTATAATTTATATTAAGTAAGGGTAGTTTAAGAATTAAAAATAAAATTGATTTAATGACATTTAAATTAAGGGAATTAATCATATTAAATAGGTATATTATATTTGAAAATAAAAATCTATTCAAAATATATAAATATTATTAATTAATTATTAAATTTATATATTCGTAATGAAATGATGTCGTAAATAATATGATGTTTTATATTAATATATATAATGTATACTTCCTTAGTCCGGTAAAATTATACCTATTTTCTTTATAATTTATAAAGAAAATAGGTATAATTTTGGGGGACGAATGAAGTATTATTTATGAAATGAATTTAAGATTTTTATTTCCTAATATATTAATATTGTCAATTAAACAAATTTAGTTATAATTAATGGAATTATTTTGAAACAAATAAGTTTTCAAAATTTATATACATATATATTTTTCTTTCTTAATTTATTAGTCAATTTTTTTATTCCCCCCCCCCCCAAAAAAAAAATATTTGTCTCCCCCTTTGATTTTGTCCGTCATCCTCTTCCCAATCAAAGATTGTTGCCGGTTTTTTTGTCACCACGAAATTGAAGATCGGCCTCTACTATCCACTATGTTTATATCTGCGTTGCATTCCGATATATACTTCATTTGCACCTGCATTGCAGTTGAATTTGTAATAAGTGAATCCAAAAAATACCCAAAGACGATATTGAAACTGAAGGAGAAGAACCACCTTCATCTAGTTTCACTTGTGTCTAAAAAATGGTCAATTTAAACAACGAGAAACTATTTTAGTTAGATGGTGATATGTTGAGGTATTTTATACAGGATACTTGTTTTAAAAGCTTGTTGGTTGTTAATCATTTGCTATTAATTTTAATTTTTTTTTCAGATTTAAAGAGATTGGGATGTTAATTGTGATTGTTTCGTATTTTCAGAGGGAGGGAAATAAATAGTGAATTACAAGAATTCTACTAGGGTGTATAGATGTATAAAAATTATATTCAAAATATATACGTAATGAAATGATGTTTCTATTTGTCATAATTAATGTATATAGTATAAAAATATGATTTGTTATACTGATGTATATGTGCATTTTTTTTGTACATATTTGAATTGGTTATTTTTAATATTTAGATGTGTGTATAAAATTAAAAACGGTTGAACTACAAAATTATAGTTAAATTGTGCCGTACATTTCCTATGCGTCTTGTGTCTTTTCCTCATTATTGCAGCATGTGGTAAAACAATGATGTTCTCTGAGTAATGTGTGATGTTATTAAAGTTAAATGTTTTACTTTTAAGACAGAAAACTAAATATATTGTATCTATTCGAGATTAATTTTCAACCTCTTCTATATTTGTGTATAGACTGCAATGTATAATATGATATTTGTAATATTACAATATGATATATATATATATATAATATCAAAATCATGCCATTCACTCAAACTACTGAAAAATATATTGATTTTATTTGTATAAAATATTTCATAACAATAAAATTATTCGATTTCTTGGATTTAGAATTTTGAGATAATAAATATGTTTAACTAAATTAGGTTCTTCAATTAATGATCATAATTTATGATAATAACTTGAGTACATTAGCATTGCCTAAACTATGAACCAAATTAATGGAATTATAATTAATTAATTGAATTAAAATATGAATATATTAATTTATGTTAATTTATATAATCCAAGTAATAAATACAGTTTTATATGATTTTTATAGCTTTAATTATGTCGATTTATTATATATATATATATATATTTGTTTTGAATATGATAGTGGGTAAAATTTTTAAGATGAAAAACAAAAATATGTATAAATTATCGTAATATTTTATAAATTTTTAGAATAATCATATCTAAATATCAGTTTTATTCTTTCACGAAATTAAAAATAATGATATGTTGAACATCTTATATAAAAATGCTATTTTTATACTTTTTAAGATGCTGTAAATAGAATCTATATATGATGCGGTATAAAAATATTTTAAAAATTTCTTTCAAATAAAAACTTATTATAATATTCATTGTGAGTATTTTGAAATATGTCATATCCTTCTTCAATTCAATCCACATCAATGATCTCGTTTATTTTCCATATAATAGCCTAATTCTTATTTTCAGAAAGTAGAAGATTTTTTTTTTTTTTTGATCGGAAAGATCAGGGATTTTAGATATAAATAATGAATAAATAGTAGATACAAAATACTCCGGGCATCCCTGGGAGATCAACCAAAGCTAAGGCCTGGACATACAAATAACGAAATTAAGGTCTGCACGTAGGCCGAGACGGACAAAAGAATCAGGTGATTCTATCTTTGCTTGTCGTGAGCCATCTACTGATGAGGAGAATATCTTTTTCGTGGCACCACGTTTTTCTTGTATCTCCTATAGAACTGATAACTTGCACATCATCATCATCATCTTATTCATCAAGATTGTGAATAGGAATAAACTTGTGTACTAAACTCCAGGATATTCACACCCTCATTTTTTTTTTGTTTGAACTACTTCTTCAAGGGCTTGGAACATTTGAGGTGGTTCATAGGATACAGTGTGCTGCCAATTGGTCGGAAGTTTGGAAGATAACAAAAGTTTGGACCAAATAAAAAATGGTTGTGGATAAAACTGTTGGGGATAAAAAAAAAAAAAATAGTGAAATTTGATGTTGATGATTTGAATATTGGGAGTTTTGTGAATCTCCTTGGTTAGTCAATATTTCCATAAAATTTTGAAAGAATAAGTTTGAGTGTTTAAACTGAAATTCATTATAAAAAAAAAATAAAAATAGATAAATTTTTGATATACTAACATATATAAACTTATAGTCTATTTATATAGATTTTTACTCACATGCATTTTTGTCGTCATTTCATTGTATAAAAAGTATTAATTATTTCATAGTATAATCATCTCTTTTCAACAGCATCTAATGCATGTTATTTACTTTAATGTACTAAAAGAAATTGATTCTTTACGTTTTTTATTGTCACTTTTTAGAATTAATACGTAATGTATATCGTATCACTTCATTGTATAAAAAAGAATATAATTGATTACTGAGCATTTTGTTGTCATTTCTGGAATTAATATAATTAAGACACAATGCATATCATATTATTTTATTGTACTTGAAGGAATTGATTCTTCAAACATTGTGTTGTCAATTCTTTCAATCAATAGACAATATTGTCATATCGCTTTATTGTACTAAGAGGAATTGATTCTTAAAGAATTGTATTGTCATTTCTAATTACATCTTACAAAATATGTTTTCATATTAATTTTATTTTAAATTTTGTAAGTATATATAAACATGTAGTTTACAATCTTTTACTACATTATGTTTTCAATTCTTTCAATCAATCAATACACAATATTTTCGTATCACTTTATTGTACTAAAGAGAAATTAATTCTTAAAAAATTGTATTGTCACTTCTTATTATATCTTACAAAATATATTTTCAAATTAATTTTATTTAAATATTGTAAGTATATATAAACATGTAAT